TTGCGCGAATGGCAATAACTTTCCAACCATTCACAACTGTCAGAGGCTATGTGAAGGTCACAAATACTACATGCCTACCCAATTTATTTTTTATTTTGACAGCCCATTCATCCACTGCACACAGAGACCCTAACACGATTCTTTTGGCTAACTCCATGCCTTTAAACTTATCCTTTTTTTTTCATGCACTTCTTCTTTAATGCTGGATGATTGAACGTCCGGTGCTGAGGTCTAGGCTGTCACATTTCTATTGGATCTAGAATTTTTGATGCTAGCATGAAAGTTGCATGCTTATCGCTAGGTTGCAGTGGATCCGTGCAGTCAGGATATGGATCAAGGAACCGGAGTCATGCAACAGCGGCGATACTATTTCAACAAATCCACGAAACAGTGCGAGCAGTTCTACTACCGCGGTGCTAACGGAAACCGAAATAATTTCGGCAGCTTACAGCAGTGCCAGCAGCAGTGTCCAGGTTTACAGCTCAATGCACCAACAGCACAAAAACTGCATAGACTAAGCAAACCAAATTTGCCCGTTTTGATTATTTGCCAGCTTTTTTTTTTCATTCACCGCACAGATGCTTGCTGCACGCTTTTTTGTTCGGTCCTGCTTGACCGGAGTGCTGCCATTCGACAGCAAAATCACGCAGAACATTACATTTCATCGCTGGCATTCGCACATACCTTGCACTTAAATCGTCCAAGATGTGGACTATTAGTAAAAGACAATTTCACTACCAGTCTTCAAAGGAATCCTATGTGTCGTTGTTTTTACAGAGACCCCCAGTCCATGCGCATACGGTAGCAGCTTCCCTCAAACTCCCTGTCATGGCAGTAACGTAATGAACGACCCATGTGGATCCAGTCAGTTTTGTCACATTGGTCAGTCTCCACCAACCACTGTCTGCTGTAATCGATCACGTGTGTTTTTGTTTCCATTTTTTTGTTTTCTTTTTTGTTTTGAGTTAATTATGACATTGTGTTGAGATCACGCATGTGTGTATGCGTGCATGTATGTATGTGCGTGCGTGTGGTCTGGATCGACCCGGATTATCCACTCTTGGAACTATGTAAGTTAATGAGTTAAAATAGGAGCACAGTTATAGCTCAGTGACGTGACCAGAATTTTCTGGGAAGAGAAAGGCGAATTTATCGAAATTTTTTTTCGAGAAGCATGCTGTTTCAGCATTTTTATTTAGACTAACGGTTGGATAATATTGTTTCATATATCTATTAAAGTACTACTGCTGAAAATTATTGGTAATTTCGTATGTAACTTAATGTTTAAGATTCGTAAAAAGAGAGGACTTTTTTCTTTCCTTTCCGTTTGGGTGTGTTAGTACATTGTCCTTCAACCAGGGCAGCGCAGCAACGACCTATGGTACACTTGAATTTAGGCTGATTTTATGTCCCAAAATTGGGTAAACTTTAAGTTTAAGGTCGTGGATCATCGTGTGGTAAAATAATGGCGTTCTGTGCATGTTCAGGTACAATCATCCACTGTCTCTTCACAAATCCAATAAAAACAATTATTATTGCGCCGCTAACATCGTTTTTATTTTGGGAAGCAGGGCACTGTAGTTGTAACATTCGTTATCGCCGGGATTTTTTAGCATTTGGTGATCGCTGCAGCCAAGCACTGAACACGGGAATTGGTAATGCAAACTTGCAGCGATGGTATTTCAATGTCAATTCGGAGCAGTGTGAACCATTCATATACAGAGGACTGCAAGGCAACGAAAACAATTTTTTGAATCAGCAAGACTGTGAATCTGCTTGCTTTGGTTTGTTTCCCTTAGTCCAGTAGCATTTTTTAAATTTTTATCCGTTTATAGCTAAGTCGGTAGATAAACGAAAAATCTATTAGCCATTATGCCATTTCTTCTTTTTCCTATTCTAGCCAAAACAGCAAAGAAATTCTTTTACCTCTTGGTCGGATTTTATGCCTTTATTTAAGTTCCTATGCAAATTGAGACTGTATCAACTACAACTACTGCTGAAGTAGCACAACATAGTCTCTAGGCAAAATCTCATTGATTTCAAATTATGCAAATAGTTTTATTCTTCAACAGTGAAAATTATTATTCAGTGAATCCGTGTGCCGTTGGAACACCGTACCGAAAGCAAGGCGCTGTTGTGCAGTGTTCACCAGGAGTATCATCAGCATGTCCAACCGGATATTCGTGC